GGACACTTCCGGCCACCTTCCAAAAGGCTTCTGCTAGCATGCCCTATTCAAGGATCCCTGCTGGTCCCTCCCTGGCCAATTCCGAAATGATCTCGGCTAGTACACCTCCTCAACGGTGTCGGCTGGTCACATCTGGCCTAGTTCCTCAAGAATCTGTGCTAGTTCCCGCAACCAACCAACAAACACCCCAAGTTTTTTTATTCTTTCTTCCTATTTTTCTTTTTTTAAAAGGTATCCAAAAAGAAATTAATTTTTAAATAATCTCTGTAGATACCTTCCCCCAAGTATCTCCGCAGGCCACTCCCAAAAAATTCCTAAAGGATCTCTGCCATCTTTCCCATCCCTTGGCCCTAAACAAAAACAGCACGCCTCGCTTTTTGTTAAATTTCACCGGGGCGTGGAAATGAATGGAGAGGGCGGCTGGGCTCCCATTGTTTTTCCTGGGGCCTCATTTCCCCTCCCTTTTCGTTCCCAAAGGAGGCCCAGTCTCCGAAATGGCGTTTCGAGACGGCAAATGAGCAATGGGGCACACAACTTTTCCAGATTTTTGTATGTATTGCCCCTCTCTCTTTCTGTTTGTATGTCTTTTAGTGCTATGTGTTGTTGTGGGGTTTTTTTTTGGGGGAGCTGAGGTCCTTAATTCCAACCAGATGTATCCCCTCCCCCCGGCTTCCAATGGCTTTTCCCTCATCCCATCCCATTCCCCCGTACTCCACAACATTCCGCTGCTACAAATCTCGTAGCCATACGGATTTCTATGATTTTCTGTCATTTTTTCGCTTGCTTTGCTTGCTCTGCTTGATGCATAAGCTGGTTAGAGAGGCTTAGGCTTGGGTCAGGCTTAGGCTTAGGCTTGAGGATGTGGCTTAGGACTTGGCTTAGGCTTCGGCGTAAACGTAGGCCTAGGCATCCGCTTCGGTTTGACTTAGGGTCAGGCCTATGCTTAGGCGTAGACTTAGGCGTAGGCTTAGGGTTACGCCTCGGCTCAGGATCAGGCTTAGGCTTCGCTTAAGCTTATGCTTATGCTCAAGCTTCGGCTTAGGATTTGGCTCAGGCTTCGGGTTAGGCATAAACGTAGGCTTAGGCATTGTTTTGGGATTTGACTTCTCAGGCTTGGTGTAGGGCTTAGGCTTAAGGCGTTGACTGAGGTTTAGGCTTAGGCTTGGGCCTAGTCTTAGCTTGGTCAAATACTTGAATTTTGGCTTTCTCGGCTGGTGATCGCAAGCTTTTTGCCGGCTGTCGACACCTGGTAAACTGAAATGCTCGATTTTGGCACTGCCCTGTTCCCTGAATCCACTTCAAACAGCCATAAAAACAACCAAATCCCCCCTATTCGACACCTCTAGGTGTGCCCACTTGGCCAACAGATAAAAACGGGAGGCCGTTCGGGGTGGTGGGATTGATGGGGGAAATGGGCGATTGGGCCCCCACTGACTGTTAGCACCCAACAGGGCCAAATGCAACAGAAAACCCCCATCCCCGGCACATCATAATGGGCTGTGTGGCCTGGAAAGAGAACGAACCCCGGAAAGACAGGACGGCCCAACGGAAAAAATGGGCAACAGTTGGTGGGCCCAGAGGAGGTGCCCGGGGGAAAAGATGCCAAATTTATCATTGGCCCATGCCACGAAATTCAGGAATTTTTTAGGGCGAGAAATGTCATGTTTGAGTAGTTTTTTTGCTGGTTTAGTGATGCACTTAGCTAGCTTAAGCTTAGTCTAAGCCTTGGCTTCGAATATAAGCTTGTGGCTTGGATTTATCCTCGAGCTTAAGCTTGGGCATTGGCTGAGGTTTGGGCTTCAGCGTTAGCGAACCCAGGCTTAGTCTGAGCTTGAGACCCAGGCTTCAAACCTTCCTTGGAAGTAGGCCTGGCTTAGGTGAGGATTACACTTGGATAAGGCTTAGACTTGGGTTTGGACATGGGCTTCGGCTTCGGCTTGGGCCTAGGCTTAGGCTTAGGCTTATGCTTAGATCGCAGTAGGTAGCCAAATGTCAATTTTCCTCTCGGTTTCTTAAATAACCCTTAAACCTATTTACCTTCACCAGAAGCATGCGGGTCCTTCCTGGGCTCCTTGTTGAGTGAAGGGGCGACCGGAAATAAAATTGAGGGCGCCCGAAATGGAAATTGGATCGACATGTCAGCCGCCCGGGAATGGGTAGGGTAGTACCCGTAGTCGAGGAGCACCACTTCTTTTCTCCTTTTTTGTGCAAAAATGAATGCGAACCTTTATCGTTCAAATTTTACATTATCAAATTTTCAAAGTCAACCGGCTCCGGCTTCGTTCAGCTTAGCATAGGCTTTGGGTTACTAAGTAACCTGCTACTTTACGCTTTTTAGGCCAAACACTAACCCTACCGAAGTTCCGCGCTTTGGAGACTTGTCATTTTTATGGATTCCAGGAAATTACTATAACCTGCTTCCCGGGGGAATTCAATCAACTGCCCCCGACTCCCCCATTTGCACATGTCGTCCGATTTTACGACTAATTCAAGGGTACTATACGGACTGCCATACCGCCAATTTGCCGAGATTTATGGGGCGGTCGGGGGTTCCGAGTTGAATGTTTTGCCAGGACGGTATTACAGTGTCGCGCGTATCGGGTGATATGGGCATAGGCTTCGCCTGATGGACGAATTCGGCTTAGGCTTGGCTTAGATCTACGCTTGCTTGTCCTCAGGTATGTCACGTAGTCATGTCCTGTCCGTACCCTCAGAACAACTCCTCCTCCTCATCCCCCTCCTCCCCGTTGAAATGTCCAAAGTTGTGGCCCGTACCCATCCATCAGCCATTCCCCTCTTTTCCCCTTTTCCCTTTCGTATAGGGTGTCAGGCGGCACATTTGGTTTGGCCGGGGCTGGTCTCTCTTTTCCGATTTACACCACCGTCCGATCCCTCTTGATACTCCTCCCCGAGATTATTGCGTAACGTGGCCAGGGGGGCAATGGGAAGCTGACAAATTTGTTTGGCCCTCAGCCCGGCCACAGTGCCCCTAGTTCCGGCCGCATTCCGCTTGACACCTACTGGCGGGTTTTTTGCGAGATGTTCGAAGGAATCGGTTTATCTCTGTTTGCTTTTCCTTATCCCTTCCCCCCTCTCTCTGTCTCTCTCTCTCTCTCTCTCTCTCTCTCTCTCTCTCTCTCTCTGTCTTTCTTTCTCTTCAGGACTCTCTCTCTGTCTCTCTCACTCTCGCCCTCTCACTCCTTCTCTCTTTCACGCTCTCTCTCTCTCTCGCTCTCCCTCTCTCTCTCTCTCCCGTTCTCTCTCTCTCACTCTCTATCCCCTCCTTTCCAGCACGCTGGACAGCCTAAAGGGACTGTGCCGCTCGTCGCGCAACGTGTGGCGGAATATTCGCGAGGTTGGCTTGCCCATTTCTACGAAAACCTTGCCACTTTTAGCGCTCAACCTCGCGGGACCGGAAGCCCCCATCGGAGCGAGGATCCAAAAATGGGACCAGCAATTTACGGGAGACGGTTTCTACCTCGAACATACGGCCCGCTGAGCCGGTCAACACGACAAGGGCTATGAAGAGGGAGGCAAATGCGTTGGAGGCACAGGTTTGGGGAGCAGAATTTAAGAAATTGGCTTCGGGGCTTAGGATTGGCTTAGGCACGGCTTAGGTTTAGGTTTGGGCTTAGGCTTAGGCTTAGGCTTAGGCTTAGGCCTAGGCTTTAGTCTTAGGCTTTGGATAAGGCTTAGGTCTTGGATGGGGCTACATTTTAGGCTAAACTTTTCAATTCCCCCATTTTGCAGCTAGCCTGCCTGCACGACGAGATGCGCAGCCTGCGCGTCGAGTGCGACCGGCTCATCTACAAGCACATGCAGAGTGAGGACGCGCAACAAATGGTACGCTTTCATGCGAGCTACAGTAGCTAACAATGCATTGCGTTAAAGTTGGATTAGACCCACGCGATTTTAGCCCAACGCCGCCCCGCAAGCCGAAACGTCGTCGGCTTACAACACTGGCGGAGAGAGCTGTCGATCGGCTACCGTAACCCCGGATGGGTGTGTGCCACTTCTTTTGCACCATCAACGGCAACAGATGCAGCAGGCGAATGTTCAGAAATTTACACCAGCCAGAGAAGGTGTGTTTTTATCTTTTTCGCATTAATTTAAGATGAGAGAGAGCGTGTGATAGAGACAGAACAAGAGAGATCGTGAGAGAGAAACAGAGAGAGAGAGAGAGCCAGAGAGAGAGAAACTTTGGTTGGACAGTTTTATATGCGTACAAATTTTTTTTTCAGACCCCCGTCGCGAATGTTGTCCTCCATCCCCTTCCCATGTCCAATCCACCGTCGAGAGGAGACAACGGAATATGACGATGAGAATTCCCCATCCACTACCAGTTCTGGGTAAGTGGTTTGGTCGAAAACCGATTTTAACATGGATAAAGACCACCCTAAATTCAGTGAAATTTACTTAAAAAAAAAAAAAAAAAAAAAAAAAAAAAAAAGCCTCACATCCATTTTTAGTCGTAAACCGCGGCGGATCGGTGGTTGGACAATCGGAGATGTCACTCGGCCCGATCCCCACAACCCCATCTGTCATATATTCTACCACAAACACGGCGACGACCATTCGAAAAGCGGTCCCCCCGCTCCCGACTACGCACCAATCCTATGCACGGGACAAGGTGCGGGCTGTGTCTCCGCAAAAGTTCAGGTGGGCTTGGATGGTAGCGTGGAGGTCTTTTTAGAATTCCGAAGTTGTCGATTATTCCCAGGGTATCTCCGCCGAAGAGTTGTAACCCAATTGAGAAACGGTGGGTTTTGGGAGGAGAGAGAGAGAGAGAGAGAGAGAGAGAGATATTGAGCAACTTCCCCTCCCCATCCGTCACCACACCTTTAATTCTCAGACAAGGCCGTCTCCGTGTCCGCAACGAGGGCGGCACCCGGTTGTTCATGTTCGACCGGCCGATCGAAGAATTGGAGGGGTTGAGCGACGACGACGACGATGATCATGATCAACAACCTGAAGAGGGACCCTCTCAAAACGGCGCCAATATGGACATTAATGCGGAGGAAGCGGTGCCGCCGGTCGAATTTAAGTGGAAGGTACGCATTCGGATCGTTTTAGGCCTTGGAAAAGCGATACCTAATTCGCTAGATAACTCTAAAGGGATCGGCAAGGCAGAAAAATCCATAGGCATGCCTTCAGTGTCCCTTTAAAAGCTGAAAAGTAAACTAGAATTAATGCAATTTAAAGCTCGACTTTTCCAACTAAAGTCCCGCGATTTCCAGGTAAAAAGACGGTGTGACGGCACGCGATATGTCGTCAAGAGGCCAGTTCGGAATCAGGTCAGGGTTACGGTGTTTGGGCTTGGGCTTAATTTGGGCTTGGGCTCAGGCTTAGCTTAGGCTTAGGCTTAGGCTTAAGCTCCGATTAGGCTTGGGATTAGCTTAGGATTAGGATTAGGCTTAGGCTTACTTTGCATAGGCCTACAACACCCTTTTAGGTCCTAAAAAAGCGAGAAGCCCAGCTGAACAAGGAGAGAACCGGCATCAGCACCGACGATGATGCCTTTAGTGGCGTTAAGGTGAGCATCAAGTTTGGGGGCAGGCTAGCAGAGACAATTTGCGGAGCCTTAAGCCTTATATTTTTTAGTTGGGGCACTATTTCTGCCGGGAAGACCGGAAGAAGCAGCTGGAACACGAGCGGATGCGGAAGATACGGCATGAGCAGCGAATCAACCAGGCCAAGCTGGCCAATACGGACAAGGTACGGTAGTTTACGGCCGGTTTACGGTCGGATTTAGCCTCTTCAAAATTTTAAGCAATTTTTCAAATACGAGCAGAAAAGCTGAAAATGACCTTTATAACCAGGATATGATAACTGACTTTTATAATGTGCCTAATACGATAAAATACCGATTTTTCAGCTAATTGTCGACATGGCCTACCGTAAGATGGCGCGACGCCAGGCTCCCCTTGACGCGTTCACCTCAACCCGAGAATACCTCTCGCAGCGCCACGAGCAACAAGGACCCCCGCCACCAGCACCCATTCTCGCTGTTACTACTGTATAATTTTGATTCCAGTAAATTAAATTAAAGTCCCGAATCCCTTCATTTTCTCCTTAATTCCGCTAAAACCCCCGCTCCCCATTCCCGGTGGCTTAAAAATCGAGAAAAACCAGTTATCAACAAATTTTTGAATTGAAATTGTTTGAAATTAATTGAATTTCCGATTTTTCATTCGTTAAACCCTTTTTTCTACAGTATTTTTCGACCCATATCCTAGCGCAATCGATTACCATATTGCTATTTATCAGGTCAGAAAATTTTTAGAATCTATCCACCAAAAATTAGAAAAATTACGCCGATTCACTTACCACCCGATTAAAGAAAAACGCCAATCCCCGAATTCCCGGTCTTTTTTGAACATTTAATTTTTTAAATAGAATTTTACTTGTTTCCCCTGTCAAATGCTCAACGATAAACCGAGTTATTTGGTGTATTTCGTACTCTACAAAAGTATTGTTGCGTAGTTCGGCGTATTGTCAAGTACGGTCGGCATGGTATTGTTGGTACAGTACTGCGTATTGTGGCGTACTGTGCTGCGTGTCGTCGCGTGCCGTACACGAATAATGCCACATTCTGTAACGCGTAGTGTTACGTACTGCACGCACGTATTGTCTCGTACTGGAATACGTTGTGGCCCGTACAGTAAACGCGCACTTTTAGCAAAAGACCTTTTACAAACTCTAATGCGTACAGAAAGGTACTGTAGTCTCACTGAGCGTATCGTCGCGGAACGCTGAATTTATATGGTGCTAGATGCTCTCAGAAAGTCCAGCCCACACATAAATCCAGGGTTCCTGAAGGACGAATTGGTGGCGAGGGGGCGAGGGGTTTGTAAAAAATGAGAATGGCGATTTTTGGGTTACTGTAGGGTTGCTAATACCTGCAGTACCACGATAAAACATTTTTGGCATTATTTTAATACAAGAATTTCATTTTAAGGGCTACAGTAAGTACCGTAAGATGAGGAGCAAACAAATTCCGTTCTACTACGAAATATGGGATATTTACAGAGTAGCAACACGGAACCGCGTACGAGCGTACGTCGATAGGAGTGTCGCGTTGGCCATTTTCATGCCTAGGCTGCGAACGGGCCGATTCATCGGCAAAGGGGGGGGTAAGGCTTCTGATCGCTTTTTGTGGGGGCGGGGCTGAAAAAGGCTGGGCAACGTGGCCATACATTCGAATACAACGGCATAGGTATCGATTTTTTTCCGGCCGGTAGCATGGTACAGTTGCTGTACGTTTTGTCAAAAAATCTCAATAAAAATCAACACAATATATTCTATGCATTGAAAATCACTAGAAAAAGTACAAATCGGTACGGTGGAGCTACGGCAGTGGCAATATTTTTAGCTTAAATTGCCAAATTTTTACTTGAAAAAATACCGTTAGGATTTTCTAGTAACGATTAGGTTTTACAAAACAGGATAATTAAGCTATAGTGTAAGGCTAAAATAGGCAGAATACGGTACTTTACGCCATTTTGTCAGAAAACCCAATCGAATATTAATTATCGGTTGAAAAAAATCTTTATAAAAAAGGAATTTGGTACATAAGGGTAGGGTTACTGTAGTGCTACTGTAAATTTGGTACCTTGGGGGAATCGTGAGAAAAATTGGTAAGACCAAGCGGTATCTAGAAAGACCGGCGACACGACATAGGGGTCGGGCGGAATATCTTCCCGTACCGTGGGAATCCCCTGGGGTACGGTAGCCAGGGTGCAAAAACGGGGGCTGAAAAAGATGGGTCGGGGTGGGCAGGTGATTCGGCATGGGAACAAGGGTTTTTTTAAGGTTTTTAGGCTCCTCCGGGTTCGATCGGTAGGTAAGATCTGGGATTACTGTAGTATTAATTATGAATTACTGTGGCGCGGCAAAGTAAGGTAAACTTTACCGTGATTTCAGCTTTAAAGTGATCAGAAACCGACAGTTTTCGTTAAATCATCGAAAAACTAGCGTATCCCCGGTAAAACAAAAAAAAAACGAAATTTCCGGCCCACAACTTTGCGAGATTTGGTGCCGAGCGGAAATCAGAAACCATGATTTCTCAAAAAACGCTGCAAAAAGTGCATAGTTGCGTAAAAAGCAAAATTCCGGAAAGTGTTTTCGCGCCCAAAAACCCGGGGCACAGCGGGGAGAAGCGCCTGGGTGGTTCTCGCCCCTTTTAGGGCCAGGTCTGCCAGTCTCGCTCAGACACAGAATGCGAATCGATTCGTTGGTGACGAACGGACGGACAGACAGACAGACAGACAAACAGACAAAGGATCGAACGGGGGGAGAGGGGTCCCGGTAATTGCGTGAATATGGGCTGATACCCTGGGAAAGTAAGGAAGGGTAAAACCCCGATCGGAGCCTCGGAATTTGAATTCAGAGTGCCGAATTCGGTGATTATCGATTTTTTGCAGAAGGCATATGTGAGATCCTTTCAATTTTCGAATTCGAGTCGTAGTTTCACTTGCTAAACCCTTTAATACATTCGGAAAGATGCCTGGCCTTTTATGGGCTGGACTGCCAGGCCTACCCCGGCTGCAAATTGGTGTAAAGAGGCGGAAAAGAAGGGGGACAGGTGCTGGTAGACGGACCCAAATTGGGGTCTCGACCCGGGGCAGGGTAGATGCAAAAAGGATTGTAAGGGTCCAGGTAAATGGGCCCCGGCACCTGGCAGAGCACATCCAGAACGCTGGCGCAGGGGAGGAACCCGCTCGTTAAGCGCATTCTCCGAATTGTCCGTATTTGGGTGCAGCGCGGAATTGGCTTAGGTTTAGGCTTAGGCTTAGGCTTAAGCTTAGGCTTAGGCTTAGGCTTAGGCTTAGGCTTAGGCTTAAGCTTAGGTTTAGGCTTAGGCTTAGACTAAGGCTTAGGGTTGGTGTTAGGGTTATGGTTAGGGTCAGGCCACGGCGTCCGCTTCGGCTTAGGTTTATGCGTAGGCTGAAACTTAGGCTTAGGCTTAGGCTTAGGCTTAGGCTCAGGGTTAGGCTTAGGCTTAGCCTCCTACCGCATTTAGAAATACAGTTTCTAAACTCAAACGCAAGCTTCGAAAAGTCGTACTACACAGGGACCCCCAGAAAAATTATGAATATGCAGCCCGACCCCAGCAGCGCGGCCAGGCAGCCAGGGTGGGTGTGAAATTTCAAATTGGAAACGCCCCGGCAAAAGGGGCTGGAGGGAGAAGCCGAAACGGAGGGGGGAAGGCAGACCCACACAACGCCCCGATCCTATTGACAATTGATAGAACAAACAGAAACACATACAAATCGAAAAGGGGCGGAAAGGGTACCAGGGGGGGCAGTATCAACTTACCCAACCCACACAGAAGAGAAGCACCCAACGCGCGGCGGGAGAGAGAGAGAGTGAGAGAGTAATTAGAAAATGTGAAAAATTGGGTGGCCCCGGGAGGACTACTGGGTGGCCCGGAAAATGAGTCCCACTACTCCAATGGGCCCTTCTCTTGCATTACGAGCATTAAAGGGAGCGTGCCAGCAAGGAGAAAACTTAAAAATTGTCGAAAATTCGACTAAAGTGCCCGGAAAGGCAATTTTTTAGATGAAGTAACTTTTGAGAAAAATCAGGGTCTGTCTTGCTCCCTTTAAAGAAGCATTCAAGGCCCAAATTCTCGTCAAGAGGAAGAAAGTTTTGCGCCCCTCGGGGGGTCGAACCGGGGCCCTGCGCTTGACAGGCTGAAGCACTACCATTCAGCTATAGATCGGTTTTAGCAATCCAACTCACAAATTGAATAAGCCGAGCTTTAGGAGCCGGAGCTATTCGAAGCGTCGATAGTAGCTGGGCGTCGTGATTTGAACGCCAATCCGTTCGTTATCTTATCAAGAATGGCCTGGCCTCACGGAATGGCCAGCGAGATGACCCAAGCCTGGGGACAGCCAAAGCCGTGATTAAGCAAAAAACCATGGTTCTGTTATGGCAACATTTAAAGCTAATAAAAACAATAGGCTACTGGCTACAGAATACAAACGGCAAACTAACCGGTAAAATCGGAAATTTAAACAATGGATTCCGGCGTATTTTTTGGACTAGAGAAGAGACTACAAAATACCGACTACTATTGTAAACTGGAAACGACTGAAAACGTCAAACTTTAGACTACAAACTGGCAGTTTGAAACTGAATAGGGGGCCACAAACCACAAATTGCCCTCGAAAATTCGAATTTTTGACAAATTAAAAGATTTATAAAAAAGATGCTAAATAAAACTGGTTTTTACACCACCGCCTAAAATCCGTAAGCACCACTGAAACTTGGCCCAAAGCCAAGCTCGCTTTAGGGGTTAGGTTCGAGGCGCAGGGGGCTGGAACTGGGTGGGGGCGTTGCCAGGGCCACCGGCAGAGCACGGCCACACGACCTGGCCCTTCATAATTGCCCCTAGGCCAGAAGACGGACGAATTGGAAGGGAAGGGGCAACCGGAAACGAGCATGAGGAGGAGGAGGAGGAGGAGGAGGAGAGCTCTTCGAAATGAAGAGAAGAAGAAGAAGATGGAAAAGAACCCATATCCTCCAGATCCTTTTTTTGGAGGGAGAAGAAACTCTTTTCCGGACGCCTCAGTTTTGGAGGTGGGGGGTGGGAGCACCGGAAATTGCAGGAAAGGGGCTGGGGGGCCTACGAGTTACACCAAAACACGGTTGGTTGTGATCGGAAATCTGAGTTTAGGGTTTGGCTTAGGCTAAGGCTTCGGCTTAGGCTGAGGCTTAGGCAAGGCAATGCCTATGGGTTTTGAGGAAACTCGGTCATAACCTGGTCTCCTAGGGGTTTTCTTTGGCTTGCTGCCAAGGATCTAGGCCACTTTCCAACCCCTTTAATACCTCCGTAAATTGGCCATTTGCGGAAAGACAAGCTTTCGCTAATAAGATTTCAATCTAGCCGAGCCTCGGGTCACTGTAACCCACTCTAGAGACCTACGATCGGCTGCTGGCAGCTTTTCCAATCTGGCCCGTGGCCCCCAACATCTGACCGTAAATTGGTACCTAGCGGACTAATGAGAAGGGGAC